ACAGCAAAGAATCGAACATTTCTGCTATTGCTAATAATAACAACAATAATAATAATAATAATAATAATAATAATAATAAATACGATATAATTGAAGAAGGAAATTGTACAAAAATACGAGGGAGTGGTTGACACATCGTCAGTGTGACTTTGTTTATACTGGAGTGAACATTAGTCTCCCTGCTCTTCCAAACATTTCACAATAATTCAGCGGTTGAGGCAGTGGTATTTAATAACGTATATGTTATAAATAATAATATTCCATGTTATTATTAATAACATGTATTATTATTAACATGTATGTATTTAATAACATACATGTTATAAATAATAATAGTACATATTATTAATAACATGTATTATTATTAACATGTATGTTATTAAATACCATTGTCTCAATCACTGCCTCTACCACTCCAGTCACACTCAGTCTACAAGCACCAAACAATGAATTATTGTGAAATGTTTGGAAGAGCAGGGAGACTAATGTTCACTCCAGCATAAACAAAGTCACACTGACGATGTGTCAACCACTCCCTTGTATTTTTGTACAATTTCCTTCTTCAATTATATCATATTTATTATTATTATTATTATTATTATTATTATTATTATTATTATTATTATTATTATTATTATTATTATTATTATTGTTATTATTATTACTATTGTTATTATTAGCTGTAGCAGAAATGTTTAATTCTTTGCAGTGTTCAAGAGTAAACATGATGCCACCGTCTAATACCTGTCCGAATAGCCATTCCAATATGTAGTCATGAATGGGTTTACATTATTTATACTGTAGTTTAATAGCAAATAATGAACAAACAAAACACTCACCACACTGAGTGGTGGGAGGGCTGGCTGCCAGTTGCGGGGGTCGGAGGGAGGGTAGTAGGGACTTGCAGGTGGCGGGAAACTTAAATATGATTTGGCGGCTGGGAATTTGGCGTGAAAGTTGAAAACGTGAATGTTGAGGGAGACCTGTATATTGGCAACACTTCTGCAAATGGCAGGACTCGTGTTGCTGTCACGTGAGCATCCAGTGCCAACTTCTCGGCCTCATATCTCTGTAAGTAATGACCCTAATTTTTTTTTTATCCTATAACACTTAGAAAAATGTGCTCTTTATTTTCATTAAAAAAAAAAAAGATTTTTTTATTTTTCAAAATATTCGGGGCACTGGGGTAGTGAACGTATATATATGTTTGGACCATCTAGGGTTAAATTTCAGAGTCATGTAAGTAAAAAGGTTAACCAGTAATTGTTTTAACACTGTACACTTTATTAAAAATAAATTCAATCAGCACTGCTCTATAATACAAATACAGTACTGTTAAAAAAAATTCCTTCTTGCCCTGCAACTTCTAATAAACAACACTTCCCTTACTATAGCAGATTCGAAAAACAAAAATTATGTCTCCCTGCGGCCAAAAGTGGATTTAATGGAGCAGGTATTTTATGCCACACCACACACACACACACCCACCCACACATACACCCACATAAGGAAATTATTTTTGCCTGTCCCTGAAGAGATGCTGTAGCACATCCTAATAATGTTCCAAGAGGTTCAGATTTAGTATTTGGTCAGACCAAGCAGAGCTGCAAATAACTGTTATGTGAGTGTTGCAGTATTTCAAGAATTATCCAGCTGATTTAAGAAAGGACTTATACCATGAACTCCATCAAAGTGTACAAGGCTGCAATGTCACCACATTGGAGGGGGTTACTAAAACTGTTCATGTTGCTACCTTTACCCTTCACAGTAGAAATGACTCAGCCAGCATTGAAGCATTTAAAACGTGATCTACAGTAGCCATTATGATGCGAAAGCTTATCCTGAATCGTCGTACCTCATTACTCCTTTATGCTGCTCAGTATTTAACATTACCCCTTTCCATTGCTGGTCGTTCATTACTTCTCATTGTTTATTACTCTACTGTTGTGAAATTTTAAACTCATAGGGGTCATATGGCACTTGGAATATAATAATCAGGTTTGATCTAAGGGAAGAGCAGCTCCAATTCAAGGCACCATCCAGCATCAAGGCACCTTCCATGAACAGACTGTATATTAAATGCTTGTGGACAGTTACCCTGTCATAATACACTAATCCACGAAATTGTTTGAAGTTAATGGACAAACCTGCCTTAACATCAATGAAGGTATTCACTTCTTTCATACTCTACGAAAGACTTGATTTCTGGTTTCCAATCATATTTGGCCTTTCTCTATAATGTCATCACTTTCCTTGACCTACAGGTCTGGTGTCCACACTGGAATGTCCCTCTGTCATTCACCATCACATAATATCCTATTCAGACAGCTTTGGGCAACACTGAATTTCCAGTCAGGCAGAAGAGCAAACCAGCTATCTGACTATACTATTAGTTTCTCAAACACTATTTCTTTCATGTTGAAAGATGGATGCAAATGAATGTTTTGGTCATGCAAAAACATTTGTCTGTGGTTGATCACAGGGGACCATCAGTTTTGCATACAGCTACTACAGTGAGGTATTATTGGTATAAACGATACTGTTCAATCAACATTGGTAGACGTGTGTACTTTCTCAGCCACCATGTAATCATAATTTTTGTTTAGAAAATTATAAAATATAAAATAGATGATAGGTTATAAATAAAATTTATATAAGAAACATTTTAACCCTTAAACTGTCCAAACATAGATCTACGTTCACGTGTGTAGCACTCCAAACCTAGATCTACGTTTTATTTTACATGCTTTCAAATCTAAAAAAAGAAGTAGATCTACGTTCGGAGCACTATGCATGTGAACGCAGATCTACGTTTGGACAGTTTAAGGGCTAATACAGATCATCTACCACTGACATAGGATCACAAAAAAAAAAACTTATTCACCAGTATTCAATTAAATGCTATCTTTCCAGAAGAGTGCTGACAGATAACCCTTCAAATTGCAACATTGTCACCCCCTCCTTTAGAGTGCAGGCACTGTCCTTTCCACCTCCATGACAAATCTGGCTAACTTGTTTTCTTGAATCCATTCATAAATGTTACCTTGCTCACACTCCAACAGCATAACAATTCATAAAAATCACTTGTCTCCACTCACTCCAATCACAAGCCTGCTGGATATTCAAGTCCCTAGAACTCAAAACCTCCTCTACTCCCTCTAACCATTCCTGACAGGGCTCCAGTCCCTCCTTTCTTCCACCTCAAATTTATATATTGTACTCTCTTAATCATCCTATTCCACTACACCTACACACACCCCCACATCCACCCACCCCCACATACCCACACAAAGAGAGATGGTTAAGGGGCCAGAAGACTGCAAGAGACTTGGAGAACAGAGGCTGCAGACCTTGTTGAAAGAGAAGAACCTGGGAGTATATTCAGTGCCTACTCTATCACCAGAGGCTCACATGAACCAAATAACCTCTGCAAACAATGACTGCCTGGCATATGTAAGAGAAGCCTGCATGACTCTTTGTTTAATCATTTCAGATGCTTCATACAACATATGTGAGGCACATCTTGGAGTACACAGCACCAGTATGAAACACACATCTGAGGAAGAACATTAAGAAAACTAGAGAAAGTGCAGAAGTATGCAATGAGACTAGTTCCAAAGCTATGAGCTATGAAAAGAGACCACAGAAATTGAACCTGATGACCTTGGCAGACAGAAGGACCATGCGAGACATATATACAAAATACTCACGAGGCAGGGAAACAAGATTTCTGGGGCACAGGTGGAAGTTAAAAACACAGATTAGTAGCAGGGATGTCAGGAAGTATTTCTTCAGTCTCAGGGTTGTCGGAAAGTGGAATGACCTCGACAAAGAAATAGAGGAGGCAGACTCCATATACAGCTTTAAGAACAGGTACGATAGGGGCCCATGAGGCTAGGAGGGAGTTAGTTTAGCAGGCGGCAAGCTGAGAGGTAGGCCAAAAGCAAACACTCAACCCTTGCAACCACACACATTATGAGTATTACAATTAAAACTAAGTGCTAAACCCACAAGGGTCATACAGCGACCACATACAAGCTTTTGCTCACCCTTACAACCTTAAATAGATACACACACAATTCCTCATACAATAAATATTACAACTGATGAATACTGTAAACTTACTAGTAATTTTAATTATTTGTAGAGTGTCTGCATAATTGTTAAATGATGTGGAAAGCAATCATGTTCATAAATACGACTGTGTGAATTTACATAGACTTTTCTTGGAAATGATTCTGCACATGCATATATCTTGTAAATAGTGAATATGGCACAAAAGGAAATAATTCTGCATGGAACATCCTCTGCATAATGAGAGGTTTGGTGCACAAAACACAGAGAAGACTTTAAACAGAAATTTGTTGAAAAATGCTAATAAATTATATGGGACAAATCAGCTGAACTAAATTTCCCAAGCAGAAGAAAACCAACTTCACATATCCACATTACTTCCTCATAAATAATATAAGCTATCAGCTTTATCATTTTCAATTTGTAATTAAAACAAAATTCTAAAAGGAAATGCAAAAAATTATTGATTAACTACAGCAATTAACATTATTGCTTATTACAAATATTAAAAAAAATATATTTTACTCACTGTAGAGTTTAGGATAAGAAGGTACACTATCAAAACTAATGAAAGTAGGTGGAGACCAAGCTTTGTGAAAATACTTAGCTCTGTGTAGAGCTTCATAATGAAAACCAGGATTATGTTCATTACTGTGTGTAACAAAGATAAAACCTGCCTTGGCAGGAGATCATCGATGAGGTAATACAAAAAAAAAAAAAAAAAAAAAAAATAGAAGAATACGAGAGCTTCAAAATACTGTGCAAGGAATTTTCCTTTTTACCGAAAGCAGAAATTATTTTAGAGGAAGATTTTAGATGCACATAGCAAATAACACTGCCATACACAATAATTATGTTCTAAACATCATCTATATAAAATCCAGAGCACAACATAAAAAAAAAAAAAGCTTTTAGCTTTCACTTACATGTGGTCACGAATCGAGTCGATTGTGATATCTCCACTGAGTAAACTGCTATCGCCATTCTCTTTAACTTCATCCACTTTTCTAATACTTCCACCTACAGCCTCACCAGATAATTTTTCCTCTTTTTCATCTCTGCTAGATTCATTTTCAGCCTGTGAAATTTTCTTCATGAATAACAGATATAAAATTCCAATTTTTGAGTAATTATATTGTCATCTTAACTCCTATATCACAAAACATCAGCTAGCAATTATTAAAAAAAACTGTAAGAGCACTGGAGATAAAATATTGTAAAAAGAAAAAGAAAAATCTGACAATCAGTACAGTATATGCACTATAATCCATACAAGCCCAAAATATGAGAAACAACAAAGATAATCAACTAAAATTCAGAATCTGTTCCACCAAGAAAATGGCACAGCAACAATTTGAGATCATATACCAGTGTCTTTTTATGTAACATTTTCCATAACATAACAGAACAGCACATGCAGAATCTTTCCAAAATATTTTTGGTTAACAATATAATGGCAACACCAAAATTAAAAGTAAGATTCAACTAACTTTAGAAAACTGACATTGATAAAAATGCTAAAGGAATTTGCATATAATACAGACAAATTTACATTTTGGCACTCTCAACTGTTTTTCCTTTATTATTTTATCTTCAGCCCTTATCCTTGTATATTACATTTAATTAATACATTTTACATGTTTTTCTTTCCAGATAATTTTGATACAGTAACATACACAGTGAAGTCAAATACTCAATTTCCATTTAAGTGTCATTTAAGAGCAAGTTTTGTCTACCATTATGTTCATGCTCTCACTACCAACTCAAATTTAATCTTTAACAATAACATCTTTTGTCTATTTATCTGCATCCTTCAATACCATAATTTTGAAATGTGAAAAAATTACATAAGAAGTGTTACTCATGAAACAATGAATGGAAACATATCACATAAGTAATACATTAAACAAGTGTGTTTAATAGATAGTAAAAAGCATCATGTGGAAGACTTATTTTGCATTTTGCTTTTTCCCCAAGTGAATACTAGATAATGAAAAGTACTTTTATTCCTTTGGAGATGCCAAGTGTTCTTCCATTCCCTTTCAATTTAAAATGGAATATAGTTTCAAATAAATAACTACAGTACTTTACATAAAAATTTAAACAAGGTGAATAACTTTGAAATTATGCAAGCATCACCTTCTCCTGAGAATCAATAGAGTCATCTTGCACCTCAGCAGCAGTAGCACTAGCAGCTGCTACAGCAGCATCACCACCTTCTGCTTGACTCTCATTTGGCTGAAAAAAATGTTTCCAAAAAAAAAAGCCAATTAATATATATTTGCTGTTTAGAGTGACATCTAAACTGCAATATGCACACCTCTGCAAAGACAGCGGGTATGTGAATGATGCCGACTTTTTTTTTCTGGGGGGGGGGGGACGGGGCACCCTGCCTCAGTGGGAGACAGCCAGTGTAAAAAACAATACTATTATACTTGAAAGGTAAGGTAAAAAATGTAAAATATGATTCTTAAACTGTGCTAAACCAGAAAAAACAGGAGCATAAATACATACAGGCAAAGCGTGCGTGAGCGTGTTAGATAGGAGTGAATGGAGACGAATGGTACTTGGGACCTGACGATCTGTTGGAGTGTGAGCAGGGTAATATTTAGTGAAGGGATTCAGGGAAACCGGTTATTTTCATATAGTCGGACTTGAGTCCTGGAAATGGGAAGTACAATGCCTGCACTTTAAAGGAGGGGTTGGGGATATTGGCAGTTTGGAGGGATATGTTGTGTATCTTTATATGTTTATGCTTCTAGACTGTTGTATTCTGAGCACCTCTGCAAAAACAGTGATAATGTGCGAGTGTGGTGAAAGTGTTGAATGATGATGAAAGTATTTTCTTTTTGGGGATTTTCTTTCTTTTTTGGGTCACCCTGCCTCGGTGGGAGACGGCCGACTTGTTGAAAAAAAAAAAAAAAAAAAAAATATTACCATACTTCAGCTTTAATGTACTATGGTACAGCTTGAAGATAAACCCTCGATTAAATGAATTAATAAGGATAAGTGGGGGGCTGATAATGGATATTGTGGTGGATAGAGATGCAATTGTTGTGCTATGACCATAATAATGGGCAATTCTGTAAACAATGGACTTTGTTGTTTCTGCCTCAACTGACCCAGCAGATTTTGTCATATATTTCCAAGGTCTGTTAAATTGAAGGTTTATTGTATATTACAAATTAAAATCAATTTCAGGACATGTACCATCAGCAGAAACTATTATATTTATCTTTCACTGAAAATATATTATGTATTTTAAAAAAAAAAAAAAATATGTATTTATTATGCATAAAATACCTGAACAAGGTTTGCTAAAAAAAATTTGCAGAATATTCTAAAAATACAACACTTACTAAATTTTTACCTAAGCTATATCTTACCTTTTCTTTAGAGTTTTCTTCTTGTGGCTCCTTGACTGGAATGGATTTTAAAATGGGAACTGTTCCAGTGGGTCGGGTTATGTGCCTTGCTGAGAGGGAGACCCGTTCTAATTCACAAGGAGACATCAAGTACAGAGCCTCACCACGGTTACTGAACACCACACTATTGATGCCACTAAAAAAATTTAATGCATATATTAATGTGAAACCATATACAGGATATCAATCACATTTCAAAGTAGCAAAATAAGCAATCAGCAATATCTATTCTCAATACTCACTTGATATCTTCCCTTTTTATGTGCGCTGTGTACATTTGCCTTCGACAGTCAGGCAAAGAGTACACAGAAAAATCTCCCATGTTGGTCATAACCATGAAGCATGATTCCCGGTAACTTTCATCTACTGAAGATACAAAATCTGCATAGCCTATCTTGCGTACTCTTGAACCTTCATGTGCCGTAAGTTTGAATTTGCAAAATGGTTTTAATTGTGGTAGGGTAAACACCTGGAAAAAAAAAATACACACATTACTGGTATCATTAAATTTTTGTAGAAAGCAATCCACTCTTAAAATTATTTTCATATTTCACTCTTCACACTACTTTTCAGCTTCATTTCACACCACCCAAGTATATATCATATCACACTTGTCATCTTTGTACATTCTTCATTCCATTAACACTATGTGCCTACATTAGCTCCAAGTATGAAAACAAGAACAAAATCCCAGATTTATGAGATGAACCTCATGACTATGTTTCTGTCCATCCTGTACTATTATCAAGTCAACTGATGAAAAAAAAGGAGATAAGAACAGAAGACACTGCAGGAGAGAGGTGGAGGAAGAGAACAGCAGAAGCAGTTGTGGTGTCAGGGATGGTGGTAGTGGTAGTAGTAATAGTGTAGTAGCAACAGTAATAGCAACAGCAGTAGTAACAGCAGTGGTCATGGTAGTAATAGTCATAATAGTAATAACCTCGGTGGGAGACGGCTGACTTGTTAAAAAAAAAAAAAAAAAGTAATAACAATATTAGTAGTAATGGTAATAGTGGAAGTGATAGTAAAAAAAAAAGCAAGAAGCAGAATCCGGAGAAGCAGAAGCAGAATCAGCAGCAGAAGAAGCAGAAGCAGGAGAGGTAGAATCTGGAGCAGAAGAAGCAGAAGCAGAATCAGGAGCAGAAGAAACAGAAGCAGCAGCAGCCAATACTACCAACACAACAACCACCGACACTCACCACCACCAAGTGGTTGGTGATGGGATCAGGACATCCTAACAACATTCAAATATTCTATGTCAACAGACAAGGTAGTCAAAGAAGCAAGATAAGGAGATGAGGGGGTTTAAGTAAGTCTGAAGGTTTATAAAGTTATACAGAAGGTAGAAAGCTGACAGTGAGCACAGGTAAGAGTAAGGTGATGAGGGTATCAAATGATTTAGATAAAGAAAAATTGGATATCACATTAGAGGGAGGGAGTATGGAAGAACTGAATATTTTCAGATATTTGGGAGTTGACTTGTCAGTGGATGAGTTTATGAAGGATGAGGTTAACCATAGAATTGATGAAGGAAAAAAGGTGAGTGGTGCGTTGAGGTATCTGTGGAGACAAAGAACGTTATCCATGGAGGCAAAGTAGGGAATATACAAGAGTATAATGGTACCAACATTCTTATATGGATGTGAAGCATGGGTTGCAAATGCTGCAGCGAGAAGGCGGCTGGAGGCAGTGGAGATGTCATGTCTAAGCACAATATGTAAATATTATGCAGAGAATTCATAGTGTGGAAATTAGGAAGAGGTGTGGAGTTACTAAAAGTATTAGTCAGAGGGCTGAAGAGGGGCTGTTGAGGTGGTTTGGTCATTTAGAGAGAATGGAACAAAGTAGAATGACTTGGAGAGCATATAAATCTGTAGGGGAAGGAAGGTAGGGTAGGGGTTGTCCCCAAAAAGATTGGAGGGAGGGGGTAAAGGGGTTTTGTGGGCAAGGGGCTTGGACTTCCACCAAGCATGAGTGTGTTAGATAGGAGTGAATGGAGACGAATGGTTTTTGGGACCTGACGAGCTGTTCGAGTGTGAGCAGGGTAATATTTTGCGAAGGGATTCAGGGAAACCGGTTAGCCGGGCTTGAGTCCTGGAAATGGGAAGTACAACGCCTGCACTTTAAAGGAGGGGTTTGGGATACTGGCAGTTTGGAGGGACTTCTAAACTGTCATATCTAAGCACTTCTGCAAAGACAGTGATTATGTATGAGTGATGGTGAAAGTGTTGAATGATGATGAAAGTATTTTTCTTTGTTTATGGATTTTTCTTTCTTTTTGAGTCACCCTTCCTCATATGACATTCCCTTGAGCTCTGGGACTAGCCTTGTTGCAAACCTTTGTACTTTCTCTAACTTCTTGACGTGCTTGACCAGGTGTGGGTTCCAGACTGGTGCTGCATACTCCAGTATGGGCCTAACATACACAGTGTACAGTGTCTTGAACGATTCCTTATTAAGGTATCGGAACCCTGCCTTGGTGGGAAATGGCTGATGCATTAAAAAAAAAAAAAAAGCTATCATATTTTCCAGCATAAAAGGTGCATTCCCCCCCCCCCCCCCCCAAAAAAAAAAAATCAGTGTGCCTTATATGCTGAAGGTATGCTTTGGGTTACTGGTAAGTGGTCATTTCAGTACTGCAATACCAGTAAACCCATTATAATTTACATATTACTATTATATAATAAACAAACCACCTTCAGTTTCAACTAATTAACAAAGTAGTCATCTGTAAACAACAGGTAGGCATGTTTGTTTTGGTGGTTGATAGTGGAGCAGATAACAGCTGGTACAGGTACCACTTTTTTCAACTATGCTGTGCACATAAGCAGCTCAGTCACTGGCTCACTATAATTTTAAAGCAAGTACTGCATTTTCTTTTTTAGTGTTCCCAAAATATGCATGCCAAAATTGGAGTGAACCTTATACACGTACATGTATTCTTATGTGCCTTATAGGCTGGTAAATATTTACTCCACATTTACACAGTTCAATAAAATACAGTGGACCCCCGGATAACGATATTTTTTCATTCCAGAAGTATGCTCAGGTGCCAGTACTGACCGAATTTGTTCCCATAAGGAATATTGTGAAGTAGATTAGTCCATTTCAGACCCCCAAACATACACGTACAAACGCACTTACATAAATACACTTACATAACTGGTCGCATTGGGAGGTGATCGTTAAGCAGGGGTCCACTGTATTACGAAATGTATAAACAATCAAAGTAGGTAGTAGGTTGGTAGACAGCAACCGCCCAGGGAGGTACTACCGTCCTGCCAAGTGAGTGTAAAATGAAAGACTGTAATTGTTTTACATGATGGTAGGATTGCTGGTGTTCATTTTTCTGTCTCATAAACATGCAAGGTTTCAGGTACATCTTGCTGCTTCTACTTACACTTAGGTCACACTACACATACATGTACAAGCATATATATACACACACCCCTCTGGGTTTTCTTCTATTTCCTTACTAGTTCTTGTTCTTGTTTATTTCCTCTTACCTCCATGGGGAAGTGGAACAGAATTCTTCCTCCGTAAGCCATGCGTGTTGTCAGAGGCAACTAAAATGCCAGGAGCAAGGGGCTAGTAACCCCTTCTCCTGTATATATATGTACTACTAAATGTAAAAAGAGAAACTTTCGTTTTTCTTTTTGGGCCACCCTGCCTTGGTGGGATACGGCCAGTTTGTTGAAAAAGAAAAAATAAACAATCAGAATTACTGCCAGGAAATTTATTTGATAAACTGTACATAAAACAGAGATTAGCTTTTAAATATAGAAATGTATCCAGTATAACAAGTGACCCCTATATGATGCATAAGAAATCAGGTCAAATTTACACAGCAATTCAACAAAATCATTGCTTACCTTAAACTGTTCTTCTGAGCATATCAAAACTCTGTGTGGCATATTGGTATTAGGTGATGGGGCTGCCTCTTTCTTGACTGCCATTGGTTCAGGGAAAGGTCTACTCGCACCATCGAGAATGCATATACTTATGACTGGTGCCCCATGCTTCAAGTGAATCTCTTTACCTAGCTGCACACTTAGTGGTACTTCTCCTCGTTTTTCAGATGGTGGAATGGCAATGGTAAATACGTAAATGGCCCCACTGTTTGTGCCAGCCCAAAGTGTAGCTGACATTAATTGAGCTGAAATTTTTTAAAGCAAGCATCAGACTTATCCAATCTGATTAAATTAAGAACAAAAGTAAATTATTTCTCCCTAAGTTTTATCATCTTACACAAAGGAATTCTCCCACTTATATTTATGTAATAATTTATTTACAGGCTGAAGAATGCATTTGCAGCATGAAGATATATAATTCATTTTAATAACTCATGAAAGTGAAATTAATATCCCAACATGATACACAATTCCTGCCTACAAAAAAAAAATAAAAATTACTGTACTAGGCACGTAAAGTAAGCTTTTAGGCATGTTAAATGAAAGAGTTTACTAATGAGGAGGAATTACTGTATTTACAATTACGAATACAGAACACTATTACATGGCAAGCATAGCTCTACTCATTTAACTTCAAAGTAGTTAAATAAATTTATCTACCAGGTATCCAGGTAACCTTCATTATCTAACCAACTCTCCCTCCTGCTTTCTCTCCTACTACATCCCTTGAAGGATGAGGGACACTGGGCAGAAAGTAGATGGATAGCATGCAAAGTGATTCAAATACAAGGGCATGGAGAAGTTTTTATTCCTACTACAGAGGAATACAGAATTAAATGGAAACTCAGCTCCCAGCAGGGTAGATTAGAATACCTAAACAAATATGAAGAAAGGTTTATTTCAATCCAAATACAGAATAAAGAAAATCCTTGTTTCAACAGTGTTGAGAAATAAAAGCCAGGTACAATGATGCATGCAAGAAATGCAAAACAAGAATTATGGAGTAAACAATGTAAACAACATAATTGGCATGGCAAAGAATTGGTCAAAAATATTTAGTTAATTAACATGAAAAATGTCTGCAAAGGACCAAATTCCCAGGTTCAAACTGAATGGGGATCAACTCACAAAAAAAGATACAGTAAAATTATGTATACACGTATGCAAAATGTGGCAAAAGATTACAAGAGGCCTTTTATACACTGTGACATCTGGCAAGAATGAAAGAGGAAGTATTTTAATGTAATGAATGCTAAATCAACTATGTGTATACTTTAACAACTTTAGAATAACTGCAAAACTAAAGGTTACATTATATTCAGTATTATAAAATGATATCCTGTGCTTGAATGAAGTGAGACTATAATACACACAAGAAGAGTGAACCATACAAGTTAGCATACAAACTGCGGTCTTTATCTCCTTGGTGGGAGATAGCCGGTTTGTTGAAAAAAAAAAAAAAACTTTAAAAGTTTTTCATAAATATCAATAGTATAGTTAAGGCAGGGCAGAAAGTACTTGTTAAAATGAAAAATTAAAGTTTCTGGATGAAATCAATTTGTGGATGTTGAAAAAAAAAAAAAGTGAATCTCAGCTAAAAATGCAAGGACATTATGGCCTAAGAGCTTGGCCCCCCAATAGAACCTACATGCAGGACATTAGCTAAATTTAGGCTCTCTCTCCATTATGCAAATCACACCGTTGAAAGAAATAAACTAAGGAACCAAGTGAAGGTTTTCTGTCCTTAAAAATATATACAGTAGCTAAAATAAACTTACGTGTTTTTTTTTTTCAACAAGTCGGCCTTCTCCCACCGAGGCAGGGTGACCCAAAAAAAATAAAAAAATCCCCAAAAAGAAAATACTTTCATCATCATTCAACACTTTCACCTCACTCACACATAATCACTGTTTTTGCAGAGGTGCCCAGAATACAACAGTTTAGAAGTACATATGAATAAAAATACACAATATATCCCTCCAAACTGCCAATATCTCAAACCCCTCCAGTTATATAAAATAACCGGTTTCCCTGAATCCCTTCACTAAATATTACCCTGCTCACACTCCAACAGCTCGTCAGGTCCCAAATACCATTTGTCTCCATTCAATCCTGTCTAACACGCTCACGCATGCTTGCTGGAAGTCCAAACCCCTCGGCCACAACACCTCCTTTACCCCCTCCCTCCAACCTTTTTGAGGACGACCCCTACCCCGCCTTCCTTCCTCTACAGATTTTGTACACACTCTATGTCATTCTACTTTGATCCATTCTCTCTAAATGACCAAACCACCTCAACAAACCCTCTTCAGCCCTCTGACTAATACAGTGGACCCCCGCATAACGATCACCTCCGAATGCGACCAATTATGTAAGTGTATTTATGTAAGTGCGTTTGTACGTGTATGTTTGGGGGTCTGAAATGGACTAATCTACTTCACAAAATTCCTTATGGGAACAAATTCGGTCAGTACTGGCACCTGAACATACTTCTGAAGTGAAAAAATATCGTTAACCGGGGGTCCACTGTACTTATATTAACTCCACACCTTCTCCTAATTTCCACACTTCGAATTTTCTGCATAATATATTTACACCACACACTGCCCTTAGACAGGACATCTCCAATGCCTCCAACCGCCTCCTCGCTGCAGCATTTACAACCCAAGCTTCACACCCATGTAAGTGTTGGTACTACTATACTTTCATATATTCCCTTCTTTGCCTCCACAGATAACATTTTTTGCCTCCACAAATACCTCAATGCACCACTCACCTTTTTTCCTTCATCAATTCTATGATTAACCTCATCTTTCATAAATCCATCCGCTGACAGGACAACTCCCAAATATCTGAAAACATTCACTTCTTCCATACTCCTCCTCCCCAATTTGATATCCAATTTTTCTTTATCTAAATCATTTAATACCCTCATCACCTTACTCTTTTCTATGTTCACTATCAACTTTCTACCTATACACACACTCCCAAATTCGTCCACTAACCTTTGCAATTTTTCTTTAGAATCTCCCATAAGCACAGTATCATCAGCAAAAAGTAACTGTGCCACTTCCCATTTTGTATTTAATTCCCCATAATTTAATCCCACCCCTCTCCCAAACACCCTAGCATTTACTTCTTTTTCAACCCCATCTATAAATATATTAAACAACCATGGTGACATTACACATCCCTGTCTAAAACCTACTTTTACAGGGAAATAGTCTCCCTCTCTTCTACACACCATAACCTGAGCCTCACTATCCTCATAAAAACTCTTTACAGCATTTAGTAACTTACCACCTATTCCATATACTTGCAACATCTGCCACATTGCTCCTCTATCCACTCTATCATATGCCTTTTCTAAATCCATAAATGCAATAAAAACTTCCCTACCTTTATCTAAATACTGTTCACATATATGCTTCAATGTAAACACTTGATCTACACATCCCCTACCCACTCTGAAACCTTCTTGCTCATCCGCAATTCTACATTCTGTCTTACCTCTAATTCTTTCAATTATAACCCTACCGTACACTTTTCCTGATATACTCAGTAAACTTATTCCTCTATAATTTTTACAATCTCTTTTGTCCCCCTTCCCTTTACATAAAGGGACTATACACGCTCTCTGCCAATCCCTAGGTACCTTCCCCTCTTTCATACATTTTTTCTTTTTTCAACAAGTCGGCCATCTCCCACCAAGGCAGGGTAACCCAAAGAGAAAGAAAATCCCCAAAAAGAAAATACTTTCATCATCATTCAACACTTTCACCTCACTCACACATAATCACTGTTTTTGCAGAGGTGCCCAGAATACAACAGTTTAGAAGTATATACATGTACGTATAAAAATACACAATATATCTCTCCAAACTGCCAATATCCAAACCCCTCCTTTAGAGTACAGGCATTGTATTTCTCATTTCCAGGACTCAAGTCCGGTTATATAAAATAACCGGTTTCCCTGAATCCCTTCACTAAATATTACCCTGCTCACACTCCAAAAGATTGTCAGGTCCCAAATACCTTTCGTCTCCATTCACTCCTATCTAACACACTCACGCACGCTTGCTGGAAGTCCAAACCCCTCGCCCACAACACCTCCTTTACCCTTGTGATGAATGGTTTGAAAAACCGACAAGTTGAAGATTGAGACACTTATGCAACATATGGGAATCTTTATTCAGGAAACGTTTTGCCACACAGTGGCTTCATGAGTCCAATACAAAGTAGAAAGGCGTAAGGAGAGGAGGAATTTGAGGTAATCAGTCCCTCAGCCTGGAGTCGATGTGTTCAGTCCACCAATCTTGTAGAACGCACAGCATAGGGCCATAGACGTGGCTTATATACTCTAGTGGGGTGAGGCGAAGCAGGAGGTGGGGTCATAGTGGTACCATCCACTAGTCGAAGTAGGTCTTCGTCCAAAGGTTGGACAAGTGTTGAAGAATTCTTTGTAACAAGATCCCATGATGCTGCAGTGTCTGACAGTTGTGATGAATGGTTTGAAAAACCGACTAGTTGAAGATTGAGACACTTATGCAACATATGGGAATCTTTATTCAGGAAACGTTTCACCACACAGTGGCTTCATCAGTCCAATACAAAGTAGAAAGGCGTAAGAAGAGGAGGAGTTTGAGGTAATCAGTCCCTCAGCCTGGAGTCGATGTGTTCAGTCCATCAATTCCCTTTCTTCGTCGACATTTAAAAGTTCCTCAAAATATTCTCGCCATCTACCCAAAACCTCAATCTCCCCATCTACTAACTCCCCTTCTCTGTTTTTAACTGATAAATCCATTTGTTCCCTAGGCTTTCTTAACTTGTTTGACTAACTACAAAATTTTTTCTTATTTTCATTAAAATTTCTTGACAGTACCTCTCCCACTCTATCATCCACTCTCCTTTTGCACTCTCTCACCACTCTCTTCACCTTTCTTTTACTCTCCATATACTCTGCTCTTCTTATAACACTTATGCTTTGTAAATACCTCTCAAAAGCTACCTTTTTCTCTTTTATCATGCCCTTTACTTCATCATTCCACCAATCACTCCTCTTTCCTCCTGCACCCACCCTCCTATAACCACAAACTTCTGCCCCACATTTGATTTGTGGCAAGTGGGTTGTTGTGACTCTCATCATGAAGAAAGAATTGAGCAATACAAAGAAAATATATAAACCAAACGGGAACAGAAGGAATACAGAATATCCAAAAAAGGTTTGGAAGGAGTGTGAAAGAGGAATAGCAGCAGTTTGAATATCGGGCGAGATATAAGCGACTATTGGCAGAAAGGTGGGCTAGTGCAAAGATGAGTAGTGGGGGGGTTGAAGAGGGTTGGAATAGTTTTAAAAATGCAGTATTAGAATGTGGGGCAGAAGTTTGTGGTTTTAGGAGGGTGGGGGCAGGAGGAAAGAGGAGTGATTGGTGGAATGATGAAGTAAAGGGTGTGATAAAAGAGAAAAAGGTAGCTTACGAGAGGTTTTTACAAAGCAGAAGTGTTAAAAGAAGAGCAGAGTATATGGAGAGTAAAAGAAAGGTGAAGAGAGTGGTGAGAGAGTGCAAAAGGAGAGCAGATGAAAGAGTGGGAGAGGCACTGTCAAGAAATTTTAATGAAAATAAGAAAAAATTTTGGAGTGAGTTAAACAAGTTAAGAAAGCCTAGGGAAAGTATGGATTTGTCAGTTAAAAACAGAGTAGGGGAGTTAGTAGATGGGGAGAGGGAGGTATTAGGTAGATGGCGAGAATATTTTGAGGAAGTTTTAAATGTTGAGGAAGAAAGGGAGGCGGTAATTTCATGCACTGGCCAGGGAGGTATACCATCTTTTAGGAGTGAAGAAGAGCAGAATGTAAGTGTGGTGGAGGTACGTGAGGCATTACGTAGAATGAAAGGGGGTAAAGCAGCTGGAACTGATGGGATCATGACAGAAATGTTAAAAGCAGGGGGGGATATAGTGTTGGAGTGGTTGGTACTTTTGTTTAATAAATGTATGAAAGAGGGGAAGGTACCTAGGGATTGGCGGAGAGCATGTATAGTCCCTTTATATAAAGGGAAAGGGGACAAAAGAGATTGTAAAAATTATAGAGGAATAAGTTTACTGAGTATACCAGGGAAAGTATACGGAAGGGTTATAATTGAAAGAATTAGAGGTAAAACAGAATGTAGGATTGCGGATGAGCAGGGAGGCTTCAGAGTGGGTAGGGGATGTGTAGATCAAGTGTTTACATTGAAGCATATATGTGAACAGTATTTAGATAAAGGTAGGGAAGTTTTTATTGCATTCATGGATTTAGAAAAGGCATATGATAGAGTGGATAGGGGAGCAATGTGGCAGATGTTGCAAGTATATGGAATAGGTGGTAAGTTACTAAATGCTGTAAAGAGCTTTTATGAGGATAGTGAGGCTCAGGTTAGGGTGTGTAGAAGAGAGGGAGAATACTTCCCGGTAAAAGTAGGTCTTAGACAGGGATGTGTAATGTCACCATGGTTGTTTAATATATTTACAGATGGGGTTGTAAAAGAAGTAAATGCTAGGGTGTTTGGGAGAGGGGTGGGATTAAATTATGGGGAATCAAATTCAAAATGGGAATTGACACAGTTACTTTTTGCTGATGATACTGTGCTTATGGGAGATTCTAAAGAAAAATTGCAAAGGTTAGTGGACGAGTTTGAGAATGTGTGTAAAGGTAGAAAGTTGAAAGTGAACATAGAAAAGAGTAAGGTGATGAGGGTATCAAATGATTTAGATAAAGAAAAATTGGATATCAAATTGGGGAGGAGGAGTATGGAAGAAGTGAATGTTTTCAGATACTTGGGAGTTGACGTGTCGGCGGATGGATTTATGAAGGATGAGGTTAATCATAGAACTGATGAGGGAAAAAAGGTGAGTGGTGCGTTGAGGTATATGTGGAGTCAAAAAACGTTATATATGGAGGCAAAGAAGGGAATGTATGAAAGTATAGTAGTACCAACACTCTTATATGGATGTGAAGCTTGGGTGGTAAATGCAGCAGCGAGGAGACGGTTGGAGGCAGTGGAGATGTCCTGTCTAAGGGCAATGTGTGGTGTAAATATTATGCAGAAAATTCGGAGTGTGGAAATTAGGAGAAGGTGTGGAGTTAATAAAAGCATTAGTCAGAGGGCAGAAGAGGGGTTGTTGAGGTGGTTTGGTCATTTAGAGAGAATGGATCAAAGTAGAATGACATGGAAAGCATATAAATCTATAGGGGAAGGAAGGAGGGGTAGGGGTCGTCCTTGAAAGGGTTAGAAAGAGGGGTTAAAGGAGGTTTTGTGGGCTAGGGGCTTGGACTTCCAGCAAGCGTGCATGAGCGTGTTAGATAGGAGTGAATGGAGGCGAATGATACTTGGGACCTGATGATCTGTTGGAGTGTGAGCAGGGTAATATTTAGTGAAGGGATTCAGGGAAACCGGTTATGTTCATATAGTCGGACTTGAGTCCTGGAAATGGGAAGTACAATGCCTGCACTTTAAAGGAGGGGTTTGGGATATTGGCAGTTTGGAGGGATATGTTGTGTATCTTTATACATATATGCTTCTAAACTGTTATATTCTGAGCACCTCTGCAAAAGCAGTGATAATGTGCGAGTGTGGTGAAAGTGTTAAATGATGATGAAAGTATTTTCTTATTGGGGATTTTCTTTCTTTTTTGGGTCACCCTGCCTCGGTGGGAGACGGCTGACTTGTTGAAAAAAAAAAAAAAAAAAATGTGTGTGACAAATCTGAATGAATAGAGGAAACAGGTCTTTTGGATTTATTATACTACTGAGAGCGCTAGCAAGGTATTATCTAGGAAAGGATTTAGGGACGCCAGTTAACTATATTTAAACTGGAAATATGAGATGCACAGTGCTTGCACTTTTATATCATGTGTGGATACTATAGTTTGGTGGTTTAATTTAGAACCATGATATCTGTGCTCTTCTGGAAATGATATTTGGAAGAGTAATGGTGAATGTATTTTCATCTTCAGGTCATCCTATCTTGGCAAAATATAGTCGATGTGTGAACTAAAAAGATACTCACATAAAAGTTCACAAAATAATAAAAATTAGGAAAAGAATATTTTTTGGCCCCATAAACAGGGAAAACAATAGTTAGATACTATAGTTGGCATTAGATCCAAAAGGAGACTGAGCTACAACTACAGTAATGGGAACTTTATGTGATATACCAAATAATGAAGACTGATTCACGAAATCGTAATAAATATACCTAGTTGAATGAATCTTAATGTGGCTAGCTGGCCCAGTGGCTAACGCGACGGTCTAGAGTTTTGAGACTCTGAACGCGGGTTCTAACCCCGCCTGTTTTTTTTTTTTTTTTTTGCGAAGACTGATTACCATGAGCATAGCTCTGACACATTAAATACAAACAGACAACAGACACCCATCAACAAGCAGCTCATTCTGCCCATCTCCAACTATCATCCCCTGACCAACCCTCATCACTCAAACATATCCACCTCTTGCTCATTGCTTACCCAAACTACTCTCTCTCCCCACCAACCTCAACCACCTATCTGTCCCCGTCTCACAAGCAGCCCAGAAATAACCATATCTGAATTACACCAACCACTTCCAGCTGTCCAGGATCAAATAAAATGCAAAACAAATCCCCTCTTCCACAGCCACTTGCACATCTGCCCACTCCTAAATTTCTGTCTCAATCTGTCCTCCTTACCTCCAGCTAACCTCATACCCAACAATCTCCATATTTGTATCACACCACAACCTTCCCCCCCTCCCACTCATTCGCCTTTGTAACATGAAATTTCTATCATCATCATCTACATTTAATAATTTCTCCAAATATTCTCTCCAACATCACAGCCTCTCTTATTCAACACCAAGATGATTTTACTGCTGATTTCCTGACTTTGTATGCCATACCCATTATTCATTTGCCCTTCCATTACATTTCACAACTACATAATCCATTTTCCTAGCATTAATTTTGCATAGCAAGTCTTCATAAACCAACTATTTTTCCTTTCTCACCCTTTTTATGTCTCTCCACCAATCAGTTCTTTTTTTTTTTCCATCTACCCTCCAAATATCATAAATTTCTGCTGCACACACAGACACTGCAAATTAAATCAACATCAGCTGTTTTCCATATCTGCTTCATTTCCTCTCCAACTAAAACATTCCTTTCAGTAACTTACTTTTTGTTTTAAGGGTGTTCTATATGATCAAATGACACACACAACACAGCATACTTGTGAAGTATATTATGAAACTATATTTCTTCAAAAAGCAGGAAAAAATTAATAGGTCACTTACTGTTTGCAATGAAGCACTTTGTGAGGTGAAGGCAGCGAACCATGGAGCCAATGTAGTCACTGCTATGTGAGCGTGCCTCAACAGCTCTTTCCACTGGTTTCAGCCCTTCATCATCACCAGCTGCTGCTGCTCCCGTGCTACCAAAGGGTAGGGTAAAGGTTAGCCTACGACTAAGGGTACTACCATGGCTACTTGGAGCCTTACAAACTAAATCAGGGGTTGACTGCATACTTTGCATATCTAATATTAACAACTCTGGTTCAAATTCAGATGTCTGAAGAGGGTCTGGGCTTATGGCCTCGTGCAACTTTTGAATGGTAGGGCTAATATCAGAATTATGAGGATGTGATTCAGGAATTGCAGGGGTTATCTGAGGGGAAAGTGAAGCAGTAGGAGTGTCATCTATATAGGTGCTAATACTAGGGTGACGAGCCTCTAATTCAGACATTTCTACTGCAGACTCCTGTAATGATGTTAAGTCAAGTATTGGCACTGGTGCACTTTTTCTTTTTTCTTGATTAATAGTAAGTCGATTAAAGGGACGTAAAATTATTTCACTTTGCTGTTTGAGAAATAATTTGAATTTTTCCCTATTTCCTTCAGGCTGATTACTGCCTTCTGATGGTTTAGGTCCTTCAATATTTGTATCTTCAACAGTCAATTCACAGAGGCTCTCATTAGCAGCTGTTTTCTTCTCTGAAGTACCAGAACCAGGTTCTTTGTTTCCTCTTGTACCCCTCAGGAACAAATTAAAACTACGCTTACGTAACTCCTTGTTTGAAGATACAAGATCTTCTGCAGTTGAAAGAGCAGAACTTTCAGGGGGACCAGGACTGGCTTGCCTTTCACTCTGGCTACGGCCAATTATCCACAACTTACGAGGACGAGTCAAAGAGCGAGACTTTACCTGAGATTCCTTTATATTTGGAGACTGGCTACACTCAGATGAAGTTATCTCTTCACTTAAAGGACGATGCCTGAAAGCTAACATTAATCGTTGACGTCGTGACAGAGTCAATTCTTTTGGAGACTGCTCTTTGGTATCAAGCATTTCTTGTCCTTTTACTTGAGATGAAGAATCAGTAGCCTCAGGTTTGGATCGGCAGAACAGCCGTCGGAGTGATCCTTCTCTAGACTCTCCTGATTCTACACCAACAACTTTTACAACCTGCTCGTCATCTTCACGATGTTGTAGCCAATCCCGCAATTTATTTAGCCCACTCTTTGAGGTCAATGCTGGTGAGGAAGGATGATGATTATCCTCATCCAACTCTTTAGATCTACTTTCTTCATTCTCTTTGTTTTTAGAGCTGTCCCTGAATCTTTTTGGTGTCACATAATAAAAGAAGGGAACCGGCTCTATTAGGGAAGATTCCCCAGTCTTGCCAACCTTCGTTTCTCCTTCCCTACCACCACTAGGCATTGTATCATGTTCCTCTTTAATTTCTATCATTAGCTCCTCAGAATTGCCAATTGCACCAGTTCTCACTGCCTGTTCTTCCAAAGCTTGAGACTCTTCAACAGATGATGGGGCGTGGGTAGCTGGTAATTCTTGTGACTGAGAGGGTGAAATTTGGGGCTTTACATGAAGTTCATGTATACTATTATCAGTTTTCCCTGCCTCTTCCTCCTGTTCTCCCTCCCCTTCATTAGTTATATCAAATGCTTCCTCACTTACTTCCTCATCGGAGCTGCATGAAACACGGAAGCATGCATGTCATCACATTAAAAAAAATAAAAATATAAACTTAAGCTATTTTTAAAAGAGGATGCACAGCCTTTCTTTTGAGAGGTCAAATTGGTAAAGAAATAATGAACTTTTGGTAAGCCACTTGTTTCATGCATAAAAGCTAAAAAAAAAAAAATTTATTGGTGATAGTGAAAATACTGTACTGTGTTGGGCAGATACATTGAAACATTCACTCAAATTTTCTGTATTCTGCCAATAAAAATAAAAAAGTGGAGGTTCACAGTAAACAATACTGACATTCCACTGTATTACCAGTCACTGCTGCCAATGAAATAAAATAAATGAAAAGAACAGAAATCAAAGTGCTGGATAAGCACTGCCTGCATCGTCATGCCTACAACAGCTGCTACCAGAAATAAGAAGCAAGGGAAGCCAATCATTGCAATTTCATTGTGTTCACATTTACCTAGATTGTTCTTCATCTTCCTCGTGTGACTCATCGCTGGTATCACTAATAATATCGTGGTCCACCCTAGAGGGGTGGGGGGTTGGGGTTAAGGTTATGAAAGGGATTCCAATTCACAGATGGGACATGTAAAAAGTTATTCAACTGAGATATCTTTAGTATGTACTACTTATCTGTTCAAGCTCTTCAGATGCCTTTCTTCTGCCTGTAATTAATCACCATACAATAATTTCAAGATTTTTGTTTTTATAATCATCCTGTGGAAAACAATAATTTACACACCAAATGTATAACTTTTACAGAAAAGAATATTTTAAAGCCAAACATTCTCTGCACTGAAGAATATTTTAAGGCTTAACAAATTATCTGCACTGAAAAATATATTTTAAGGTATAACAGATTTGTTATGTCCCTAAAATCAGCAAAAGCCTTTATATATAGTGCCACAGGTTTTACCTAATTGATTAAATTTAAATACCATTAAATTATTATAAATGAAAGAGCTAAACAACAATAACTGCAAGATTGATATGCATAACTTGTCTCACATATTCCAATTTTACAGGAAAACAAAACTAAAATTGTGTGATAGTCACCATCATTTTTTTCTAGATAGTCTAAGGATAGATGGATCAACAGTTAAATAACTGAATGGATGGAATGGACAGAGAGATTATAGATGGATAAGGCATGGACAGCAATATTAACATTTTCCAATTTGGCAGAGATGAAAGGTAAGTTCAAATGTCATGTAGATTAATGGACAAAGCTACAGTACAGAGTATAATATACATAGATGAAGAGATGGATTTTTTTTTTTTTACCTCACAGCAATCTCTTTCCAAGGCAGGGTGACCCAAAGGAGAAAACACATTCACCATCATTCATTCAACTGTTGTCTTGCCAGAAGTGTGCTGACATCATGAATCAGATTAGTCTCAGACTGCAACATCCCCACCCTTCCTTCAGAGTGCATGCAGTGCCCTTCCCATCTCCCAGACTTGGGTCTGGCTAAATGGTTTTTCCTGAATCGCTTCATAGAATTTACCTTGCCACACTCCAACATTCCATACATTAAAAGTCAATTGTCTTCATACACTCCTATCTAACATGTTCACATAAACCTACTGGATGCTCAAGCCCCTAAAACACAGCCTCTAGACAAAGGTTTTTTTTTTTTTTTTTTTTTTTACAAGTTGGCCGTCTCCCACCGAGGCAGGGTGACCCAAAGAGAGAAAATCCCAAAAAAGAAAATACTTTCTTCATCATTTAACACTTTCACCTCACTCACACATAATCACTGTTTCTGCAGAGGTGCCCAGAACACAACAGTTTAGCAGCATATACGTATAAAGATACACAACATATCCCTCCAAACTGCCAATATCCCAAACCCCTCCTTGAAAGTGCAGGCATTGTACTTTCCATTTCCAGTACTCAAGTCTGGCTATATAAAAACAACCAGTTTCCCTGAATCCCTTCACTAAATATTACCCTGCTCACACTCCAACAGCTCGTCAGGTACTAAATACCATTCGTCTCCATTCAATCCTAACACACGCATGCTTGCTGGAAGTCCAAGCCCCTTGCCCACAAAACCTCCTTTACCCCCTCCCTCCAACCTTTTTGAGGATGACCACTACCCCACCTTCCTTCTCCTACAGATTTGTGTGTTCTCCATGTCATTCTACTTTGACCCTTTCTCTCTAAATGACCAAACCACCTCAACAACCCCTCTTCTGCCCTCTGACTAATACTTTTATTAACTCCACACCTTTTCCTAATTTCCACACTCCGAATTTTCTGCATAATATTTACACCACACATTGCCCTTAGACAGGACATCTCCACTGCCTCCAACCGTCTCCTCGCTGCTGCATTTACCACCCAAGCTTCATATCCATATAAGAGTGTTGGTACTACTATACTTTCATACATTCCCTTCTTTGCCTCCATAGATAAAGTTTTTTGACTCCACATATACCTCAACGCACCACTCACCTCTTTTCCCTCATCAGTTCTATGATTAACCTCATCCTTCATAAATCCATCCGCCGACACGTCAACTCCCAAGTATCTGAAAACATTCACTTCTTCCATACTACTCCTCCCAAATTTGATATCCAATTTTTCTTTATCTAAATCATTTGATACCCTCATTACCTTACTCTTTTCTATGTTCACTTTCAACTTTCTACCTTTACACACTCAAAAACTCATCCACTAACCTTTGCATTTTTTCTTTAGAATCTCCTATGAGCACAGTATCATCAACAAAAAGCAACTGTGTCAGTTCCCATTTTGTATTTAATTCCCCATAATTTAATTCCACCCCTCTCCCAAACACCCTAGCATTTACTTCTTTTACAACCCCATCTATAAATATATTAAACAACCATGGTGACATTACACATCCCTGTCTAAGACCTACTTTTACTGGGAAGTAGTCTCCCTCTCTTCTACACACCCTAACCTGAGCCTCACTATCCTCATAAAAACTCTTTACAGCATTTAGTAACTTACCACCTATTCCATATACTTGCAACATCTGCCACATTGCTCCCCTATCCACTCTATCATATGCCTTTTCTAAATCCATAAATGCAATAAAAACTTCGCTACTTTTATCTAAATACTGTTCACATATATGTTTCAATGTAAACACTTGATCTACACATCCCCTACCCACTCTGAAACCTCCTTGCTCATCCACAATCCTACATTCTGTCTTACCTCTAATTCTTTCAATTATAACCCTACCATACACTTTTACTGGTATACTCAGTAAACTTATTCCTCTATAATTTTTACAATCTCTTTTGTCCCCCTTCCCTTTATATAAAGGGACTATACGTGCTCTCTGCCAATCCCTAGGTACCTTCCCCTCTTTCATACATTTATTAAACAAAAATATGAACCACTTCAACACTATATCCCCCCCTGCTTTTAACATTTCTGCCATGATCCCGTCAGTTCCAGCT